GTGGCCTCAGCAGTAATCTGATTGTAGATATGTTTGTGGTGGCTAAGTAATATAAACCAGCAGTCCAGATAGTAAAAAGTGTTTTTTAATGGAATAGTATATATAATTGTATTTGCAAAGTTAATTGTTAGGTTTGAGTTCTTGGTCTCAGTTGTTGCAAGAATTGATTTGGTAAGATTGACTGTGATATTAGCCATGTTGTAGAAGGAGTCAGCAGCATTAACAATTTTTTAAAGCATGTATTTGTCAGGAGCCAGCCATAGTATATCATCTATATAGTCTAGTACTGATGTATGATATGTTAGGTGTTGTGTATTAGATGAGAGTGTTATTGATATATTATATTTAAAATTTGAAGTAAATGTAGGTTATTAGAGGGTTATAGCATATACATCAGAGAAGTGGTGTGATTGTTTCTTCTTGGTCTATGCCATTTTGTATATGATAGTTAAATGTAGAGCTAAAGTTTGTGATAACTAAGTTGTATTAGTTATTGTATATATTAATTATGAGTTGTTGTATATTGATGAGAATTTTTAATCAAGTTAGAGCATGTTGAAGAAGTGGAATATGTACAGAATCATATACCTTGCTTATGTCCTGGGCCAAGAGCCATATTTATTTGTTTTGTATTTGTACTTCTTGTAAAGATTTTTATAGATTGTGTTGTAGAGAAATAAGGCAGAGCAACAAAGTTGTGTGGATCTATTTAGATATTATTTTGCTAAGTCAGTTAGTAATAATTTTTGTAAAGATTTTTAAGTATGTTCAAGAAGTATATAGGTCTGGTATGGTTAAGTTGACTTGTAAATGTTAGTTTTTTGATATAGAGTATATTTTGCTTTGTTTCCAAGCAGTAAGAATGTCTGTAGTGTTTAAGCATGAGTTGAATAAGATTGTTAGAAGTTTAGTAATATGAGAATGAGTATGTTTAAGCATTTCATTAGAAATAAGTATAGGTCTGAATGCTTTATTATTAGGTAAAGCATTTATTGTATTGATTATTTCTTGTTAAGTTATTGGATCTGTTAATGTGTTGTACTATGCTAGAAGTATGTTTGTTTTGGTTTATATTTATTTTTCCATTGTTTGCAAAGAGTTGGATTATATGGATTGTGTTTGGTCAGTTTGTGAAATGATTTTTGATGTGCTGGCAGATCTCTTGTGGTTTAGTAATTATAGAGTTAGGAAGTTTTATATTGTCAAATAATACAGTATTAGTATGTCTATTGAGTATACTGTTGATTATTACTGTGGTATTTGATATAAAGTTGTTGTAGCATTTTTCTATCTGTTCGTAATGTGTTGAGATAGTGCATATTTGTTTTCACTTTCTTGAGTATAGTATAATGCTTTATGATGCTCTTTTATTGTATTAATAGTGTTGAAAAATTGACTATTATCAATGTCCAGCAGGATAAGAGATGTAATATGTATGTTAGTAAGTGATTGAATTGTTTGTATTTTTTGGTTTAAATTGTTTAGTAGTATAGTATTTGTTTCATTATTATATTGATATTAGAGTAAAGGTTGACAAGAGTACGAAGTATGCTACTACAGGTGTTTAGTGCTGCATAAGTTTTTGAGGCAGTAGATGAAAAGTTTTGAAATTGTTTTTGTAAACAAAAGGTAAAGAGTATATGTGTATAGGCTGCAGTAAGTACTATGTGTTGAATCTAATACTAAAGTTAATTAATAGTTAGTGTAGATGCTATTGTTTCTGTAGTTGAAGATAATAGTTGATAACTTGTTTATTGAAAATGTTCCCAAAGTTCATCTATTATAATATCATATTTGAATGCCTTGTATTTGAAGATTAGTACAAATAATGTGGTGGTTACTGTCAGTGATGCCAGTTGCATAAGTAATAGTAGGTGTTGTCAATATGTGTAAAATTTGTTGTAGAATCCAGATTTTTATCAATTTGACTAGAAAGCTGATTATATTGCCAAGTAGAAGTTTGTGAGTAATAGGTATGTATTAGTGGAGTAAAGTTATATAATATAAAATATTTGTATAATGTAGAATGCTGTGGCCTATTAAGATCTTGATTAAAGTCTTCCATAATTATTGGAATAATGTTAAGTTGTTGGGCTTGTATAATTCAGAGAATAATTTGGTTTTGTGTTTATTTATTTATATTGGAGTTATTGAGTAGATAGGTAGAGACAATACAAAAGTTGTTTTTATATAGTAGATAAAAGTCAATTGCTATAGCAGTGCCTTGAAGGATTTGAATATTATTAATATAAGTTATAAGTGATTGATTTATAAAGATTATTGTTTCTCTACTGAACTACCTTCTATTCAAATCCAAATCTTTACCAAATCACTTTATTTTACCAGCTCAAGCAATCTGGCATTATCCAAATATCCAACTAAAATCAAATACACCAACAACAACATTTACTATATCAACACCTCTAGACTATTAATTTTTTCTTACCCCTAGCTACTTATCTCAAATAAACTCTAAACCTTATAATTCATTAAGATCAGCTTCTTATCTCTTCTTACTTCTAATTTACCAACTATATCATTATAATCACTATATAAAAACCTTACAACTGATCTTTCTCTTTAACTTAGAATTGCAACACATAATGTACAACATTACCAAGTACATTTTTTTATAAAATCTATATAAGTCTATAAATTTATATAAATACTATATAGAATATTATATAAAAATTATATATAATAATTATTATATATAATTTAATATTACATTTATATAAAAGTTTATTTATGATTATATAAATATAATTTTATATAAAAAAATTATTTAAATTTTATATATTTATAAAAGTTATATATTTTAACTATATAATATTTATATATTAATAAATTATAAATAAAATATTTATTTAAATTTTATATATTTATAAAAGTTATAAATTTTAACTATATAACATTTATATATTAATAATTATATATTATTTAATGTAATATTTATAAAAACTTTATAAACAGAACCAGACAGTTTCTATATGCTTTGTGCTTCTCTTCTAATATTTCAAGATTTTATATAAATAATTCCTACTGTGTAACTAATAAAAAATGTTCGTTGTGCAATTTTACCTTAATTTTAATCTTAATAAATTGTAGTTTATATTTTTTTCTAAAATTATTCTTATTTGACTATAGCAGTACTAATTGTGTAGAGGCTCTGTTTAGATTCATTCAAACTTTATTTATAATTATATAAATAAATAAAATTTTATATAATGTTTATGTTTATATATTTATAAAAGTAATAAATTATTGTTATATTCAATATAATATAATATAATCTTGTATAATTATAAATTCCATATAAATAATTTATATAAAAATTTTATGTACACAGGTTATTTTTGAGAAGATAATGCTAAATTGCAGTAGATAAAGTATCATTAACAAATACATATTATATTTAAAAAAAAATACAATTAGATAATTCATATATGACAAGGTAAAACCTATGCAGAAATAATTATGTACGTGCATTATTGATGCAAATCCCATCTAAAATAGTGATTAGTCCTAATTAAGTATAAATCTGTATCAAGAAAGCAGATTTCACTCTTTCATATTAATATTATTAAATCTGTCAAATCAAAATGATACATACAACTTTTACAATGCTTGCTTTGATTTTGAAAACCCTTGCATATTGCTTGTACTAGCAGCTCACTATCTGGTATACCTACTCCCGAGTTGCTATTGAATTTGTTGCTTATCTTTGTTTCAGTGCCCTCATTATTTTTTTACCAATACCTAAACTTTGGATCCTTATTTGTTTGACAATTTATATTTAACATTATTGCAGTCTTAGTAAATTTTGTAGCTGAGTTCATTTGATTGTCATAATTTTTATATCATTTGATTAAATTTATTACTGCTTGATTTAGAAGCATATGATTAATAAGGTGATGTTAACAATCTTCTTGAGCTATTATCATCCTCTGAAGAATTAAATATTTAAATTTTGATTAATTCTTGTCATGGCTGATTATAAAATCAGATTATTGTGAAATTTGGGGTCTCAATTTGAAAATATAGGCCCTACCAAAATCCACCTATATTTTTTTATTTAAAACTCTAACCCTAAATCCTAACTCAACTATAAAAAAAAAGCCCACAAAAAAGGCCCATAAAAAATTAAAAATCATACATAAAATAGATCCAAATTTCACAATAATCTGATTTTATAATCAGCTGTGACAATTTTTAATTCTTTAATTAATGGTTATAAATAAAATATATGAATATTAGCTTACATCAAATACCAAAATATTCTTCTTTGCCTATCTTCAAAATTGTAATAGTCTTTTTTACTAAACAAATCGAAGCTTGAGTATATGATTTATGAATTTTAAATAAAACATATATATTACTTTAATAGTGTTTTATACAGATCTCAAAAAGAATAACAATAGTCAGTTACCTGTTTTTATTGCTTAATTGTGCAGTAAGACTATTTGGATATTTTGAGCAACTCTTTAGGAATTTAATTTTCATCAACTCATCATCTTTTGCACTATATATATAGATAAAAAATTAAATTATAACATAAATTAACATTATAGCATAATACAAGATGTATGTACTTATTTTAGTACTATATTTTACAGGCCAAACCTTTTCTTTTGTAAACCATTTAACAGCTTTTGTCTAGGTAGTTTTAATTAGTAACTATATATTGTTATTAATATAATATTAGTATAATTAATACAACAATATAATATTAGACTGTAAATGTATATAAAACTGTAAAAAATTGTGCAGGTGGTTTGGACTATAAAATATGGTAGGTTAAAAAAGCTATAAATTTTTATTACAACTCTTACCATTGTACAGCAAATAGTAAAAAATTAAATAAGCAAAAAAAATATAAATATAAATACTATACAGTTATATGAAAATATTAACATAATATGAATTCATTACATCAAACTGTGGAACAATATGAACAATATTATTTATTTATTTTATTGGAATTATATTGTAAATACTTGTTAATTGTAAATAAGGGCACTTGAATTTATAAAATTTTGAAGAATGTTTGGGTGTTTAAAATCATACCAATGAACAAGTGCCAGATTAAATGTTGAAGTATTTTTAAATATAAGATGAATTAATAATAAAACCTGTAAGATTAAAATAGTTAATATAAATTATGAATAAACCTATAGTTATTTTAAATATATACCTTTGTGAAACAATATCCATCACATATTTTAAGTTTTTGCTCTGAGTCTATAGAAATAGCGATATCATTAAACATCAGTGCATTGTAATAATTTTTTAAAGTTTTTACTTGCTCTTCATTAGATAATGCAAAAGATTCATATAATATTAAAGTTGCTTCTGATTTTTCTATATTTTTTTCAAGCATAGAAGGTATAACTTTAAAATAGTCATTTAATGCAGGAGCAAGATGGTGTAAACCTTCAAGAATTTCAGTAATGCTTTCTTCATCATGCTCATATAATTCAACAAGTAACTTTAGAAGATACAGAGATATGGTACAATATTTTTTTTCAAATTGTTCTTTTTTTTTTTAATTTTTGATTGGTAATTTTCAGAAACAATGTGATTATAAATATCCTTGATTGTAATGGTTTGTACTACCTAATAACATTAAGTATTATATTATTATATTAATACAAAGTAAATATGCATGTACATGCATCAAACACAAGAATACCCTTTGCAAGATCTGCTTATTAATATTGCATTTATTAGACATTCTGTAAGGAGTTTTAATATAAAACTTATGAAGTGTCTCATATGTCTCAGAACTTAATCAATTTAAATTTCCATACTCCTTAATTGTTTCAATTGTATGATGAATCTAGTAGTGAAATTTTAAAAATCAACAGTCATTTTTTGTAAATGAATCAAGAATTTTAACAAAATTTTTGGTCCATGTTTGAATCAATTTCTATTTAAAAATAAAATTACCTGTTGCTAGTAATATTACTAGTGCAGGCTTAATTATTTACATAATAAAAAAAAAGTCTTATAAAAATTACTAACTTTAAATTGAAGAAGATCAGTCTGTATAAATTTATATTGTTTTGAATAGTGATACATTTTGTTCCAATTAATAAACATTTGAACAAGCAATTCATTTTTATTTTTTCTAAAAAGACCTTCTAAAACAAAAGGCATGACTTTCATCATGTGTCTGTACTCTTTTGCTATAAACAAAGCAAGATCGGCAAGCCCAAAATTGAATATTTTCAATCCTGGAAAACATGATATCATCCCAAGTCTTTAATCCATTTTATTAATAAGAGCATTTCCACTACGAACTTTCAAAAGATCTCGTGTAAATTTAATCATGTATAAAAAAAGCCCAAGATCTAAATGGTGCATTCACTTATGAACTGTGGCTATGTAAATATTAAAATTTCTATAATAATGGAATATAAATTATTTGCTTAAATAAAAATTTTAATATTATTTAATAGATTTCTATTTGTAGATTGTATGTATAGACCTGGGTATAAGAAAAAATAAAAAATCATTAATATCCTAAAATTTTATTGAAAATCGATATAGATGTTTTAATTAAAAATAGTCAATCTAATTTTACATATAGATACACCTTAACTATGATTTATCTTAACTTGTTCTAATCTAATATATTATGTGGGTTATTGCCTAACAAAACCATGTATAGAATATATAAAAAGCATACCTAAGCTTGGTTTTGCTAGGCAACAACCTATATATTTTTTTTATACTAGGTACATTTCATTTTATAAGTATTTTTAGAAAAATTCTATTATTTAAATGCTATTTAATAAACCACTTACAGATGATTTCAAAAGCTATCTATATCTTTGTGTAATGAGTACTTTTTGCTTTATTCCATTGTAATTATTTGTTTTATTTAACTTTCTGTCTGAGTAATTTTGCGATTAGCAGATAATTTAATAGCATTTAATTCATCTTTTTCTACAAGACAAGTATGACAAGGACATGCACAACTTGTTCCACTGTAGGTTAAACATGATTTACAGTTTTCGAGCCAGTCCCCAATAATACAGACAAGCATTATATTACACCTTAAATTATAATTATTAACCTTTAGTAATATTCCAGAATGATATTGTGAATGTAATAGCTTAATTAATATATTAATATATTTGTGAAAGGCTGTTCTAATTAATTGTCTAAATTGTAGTGTTTGCTATTCTTCCTTTGTTTCTTGTAATATTGGTATGATACCAACAAGTGCTTTGGACTCAACTCTATTATGAAGATTTGTTGGAATATTTTCCAAACTAATATATATTGGATGTGATGAACTTTTCTCTAAACAATCAAGTATAGTTGCATCTAAGTATAACATAATAGCCAAGACCTTATTTTCAAAAGGAATATATTGTTGTGCATGATTCCACTATTCACAGTTATAAAACTCAGAGAAGATTCTTTCCTGACACCCCTAGAGAAACATATATATTTAAATTTAAATCAAAACTTTACAAAATTAATATATCTCTAATATATATTTTATATCTTCTACCCAATTTCAATTATGATTATATAATTATATATTAATAACTTAAAGTTATATATATATTAGTAGTATAGTTGTTAGGTAAACCCAAAAAAGAAAATTATAACAATGAACTTCATTATTATAATTTCCTTTTTTGGGTTTCACCTAACAACTATAATAGTAGTAAGGTCATTTATATAGTCATAGTTAAATTGGGAGAGAAACATACAAATATAAACCAAAGATATTTTTAATATTATTATAGATATATAATGGTAGAATTTATGAATTATATTTAAGAATTTTACAGTACTTGCCTCAACTAATGAATAAACTTCCTGATAATCAAAAAGACAGTTTGTTACAATTTCTTGTTGTTGAAGAATTTCTTCAACTGCTGAAAGAATTGGTCTATATTTGAATGAATATATTTGATCCTTTATTTATGCAACAAATGTTGAAAAAAACTTAGTATGGTCTTTTCTTAATGTATCTAAGAAAAGTAGGCCATCTTTTGTTGATCGGAATAGAGGTTTCTTTGAAACTTGACTATATTTTTTTATGAACTTTAATGCCACATCACCAGCCATATATGAAAGCTTATATCTGATTACCTAATATTAAAAAAAAGTATTATTAAAATACCTAACTTATTAATTAATAAATATGATAATTACTATGTTTATGAAATCCCAGTATGCATTGCTAGGAAACTTTTCACAATCTATTTTACTAATGTTACTATATTCACTATCATCATTCTAAGATTCATAAATTTTATCAATAAATATATTATTTTTATTTTCTAATATAGTTCTTTCAAATATTTCAGCAAACTCATAAGTGAGAATTTGATTAGAAATCTCTTGGTTATCAAATATTGAATCAAATTCATCTATTATTTTCTGGTTATTGAATACTAGATTTGATTTACCAGAAGTTGAACTAGATTCATTATTGTCCATGTTTTGATTATTGAATGTTAGATTCAATTTACTAGAAGTGCTTTGAATATCAAATGCTGGACTAGACTCATTATCAGCTTGATTATTGGATATCAGGTCACTATTGTCAGAACTGTAAGTGTCTATACTTGTACCAGTTTCACTTTCAATATTATAATTGTTTTTGTAAGCCTTTTTATGATTTATAAGGCTCATTAAATGCCTAAATTTTTTGTCACACACACTGCAAGTAAACATGAAAATATCTAAAGAAAAAAATAAGCTTAAAATCAGGTTATTTATTTATTTTTTTAATTTCTTTAAAATTATTTTTATTTTACATTTTAATTAAAATAGCACTTACTGCAATGCAAATATTAAGTAAGCTTTCTTTTATCTTTCAAATATAATTTTTTTGTTTTATTACAAATAAAGTACTAAATTATTTTATTTTTTCACTTTTATAATGCATTTTAACTTTTTATTACATAATAATCATTCTTATACAGAGGATGGCGATCCTAGTGTAGTGGTTGGGTTGTTATCCTCCAAGTGGCAGGTCTAAGGTTCAAACCCCACCTATGACAAAATTTGGAAATTAACCTATGTTACAGCTAAACTGTCTCCTGTCGATTAGTTGGATTTAGGTATTTGTAATCTTGGGTACAACCAATTGGGTTCTACTCGTTATTGGGAGCCCGGGGCATCTATGCGAAGTGTAACGTTACATGTACATAGAGGAATGTTAAAACTGGGATTGCATAAGATTCCAGTGCAAACCCATGAAAAGACCATCGGATATAAAAGACCAAGAAACCGAGAAGACAGAATCCCACTTGAAAATCCCGAGAAAGAGGTAGCACAAATCTTTGATGGTGTTGTTGGACTGATGGAAGCCCAGAAACCCCAATAAGGAATAGGCAAACATGCAACTGGATGAAAAGATGTGTAGAGGAGCATATGACTAACCAGGCTGCTGGAATCACTGAAGGAAAAGGATACCAAAAGGTATACCATACCAGGCTATCTGGATTGGGAGTCTGGGGAGTCTGTCGGATTCTAAGTTGGATAGTATGAAGAGAAGAAGTCGGAAAGATAGGTACCAGGGTTTGAGTGAACTTTCAAGGGTAAAAAATAGTGTAACATAGTGGTTTAAGGTTAGCCTTAACTGCAAGTATTAGGTAAGTATAGTGTGTTACATGAAATCCAAGTTAGCTGTGTGTGGGACATGGAGGCTCTGGTAGGTTTATCTCAAGGATAAAATAGTCCTAAGGTTGAGATGAGGATCTGGGCTTGACCCAGTGAAGTTGGTACAAGCGTTTCGGATCAGAGAGTTTAAATGGAACACTTAAGCAGAGGTGTTAGATATGGCAACTGTGGGGAACCTTCGAGCAGACCTCTTAAATAGGTAATATAGAAAAATTACATGTGTAGCCAGTTGTACACTTGTCACGATACTTGACAAAAGTATTAATAAAGTCAAAAGACCAAAGAGGTCACCTTAATACCGAAAAAAAAATAATCATTCTTATACTTATGTATATTATTTGATTTAATTTCCAATGTCATTTAATTTTAATTTTTAAAGGAATATAGTTGATAGGTAAGTTACACAAATTAGTTTTAAAGTTATTCTATATAAATATTAAAGTAATTAATGCCAATTCTTTACTGTTCTTTATATCTTTACTTTTACATAATCATTACTGACTTCAAGTCACTATTAAACTTAAGAGAACTCAAGCCTCAAAAATACTCTGAGATAAGTCTCTGGCTTGTTATACTCACATACCTTGCTTAAAGATTTTTTATTTTAAATTTTAAAATAAATTTTCATTAAGAAAAAAAGTAGCACCTAATAAATTACTATTATATTACTTAACTTTTGCATTACATTACATTCTCTTAAAGCTACTGCAATTGATAAAGTGAATTATTTATCCAGTCTACTCAAATAACCAAGCCATCCAATCACATATTTTTATGAAATAATTATCTTAAATGGGTAATACAACATGAATTTTTTCTATTATTTTTATTTTTAATTATATTATGTACTAACTTGTGCATTAGTTTTATCTATTATGTAATTTATAAACTACACATATTGTATGTACAGTACAGTACTTAATATTTGATTCTACATAATATTTAAAAAAATCTTTAAAATTTGAAGTGCAAATCATAATATTTTAAGAAACATTCTTTTTTTATTATTATGCCTCCTAAAACTAGAAAACGAAAACAAAATGAAGTCACTTCAGTAATTATTATGTTGTGTTTTTGAATAGTTAAAAAAAAGTTTTTAAAGAGCTTATTTTGTTTTAGGAATTAGATGCTCTAAGGTCTAGTCTGTCTACTTCTATTTTAAAAATGCCATGAAATGCAAATAAAACTATCATTAAAAATATGAATAAAGTATTGCGTAAGTCTATAAACTAAGAAAATATCAGAAATACTGATGTTAATGACATCAACAACAATACCTTATATAATGAAATTACTGAAAGTCCATCGCGATCTCCACTCAATGAATCTTTTACTAATATACTGGAAAATTTGTCTATTGATCCAAAAGACAGTCAGTTTTAAAAATATAATTTAAGTTTTAAATTATGAGTACTAACTTTAAATTAAAATAGCTTCAGGTGAAGAAAGTAAAACAATAGATTTAATATTAGAAACTACTAAACAAATATTGACACAAAGTATTTCGATTATAGAAAGACAAGATGCTTTGGAAACCATAATTACTCTACTCGCTAATGGTGTCAAAAATTTACAATCTTCATATAAATATTTCAAATCAAATATGAAAGATCATGATCACAAATGGTGGCAGATATATATATATAATATATTTCTAAGTATACTAAAGTGTAAGATCAATGTTCTATTATTAGTCAACTAGCTAATGAAAAGTTAGAATCAGGTTAGTATTAAAACTTGTTTCAAAAATCACATTTAGGCTGTTCAAAGTTGATTTTTCCAATTACTTAATTTACATTGGCCAATTAAATTAACTCATATTTTTTTATTTTATATATTCATTTCATTTTATCTCTCCTTCCTTCTTTCAAGAGTTCTAAAAGTGATGTTAACCAAAAATTCAACTGCAATTAGCCTTACTACAAATGTATTTTTATTGTATTGTATTTTATGATCCTAACTTAAACTAATAATAAAATTTTACATTCAACTACGTGAAGAGAAAATCGATTCTACACTATAGTTGTTAGGTAAAACCCAAAAAGGAAATTATAACAATGAACTTCATTATTATAATTTCCTTTTTTGGGTTTCATCTAACAACTATATTCTACACTGCTGATATTAATTTTCAATTTTATTTAACCTTAAATTTGTACTAGTAATCATAAAATAAATTTTATTGATGTCAGCTAGACTGACCAAGTCTTGGTAAATGTTATTACAGAAATTTTGAATTATTTATTAACTGTTAAAACAATTTATTAAATTTAGAAAGGAATGATTCAAGGTATTAAGAATGCTATAGATAATTGGCTTTATCCCAATGAGAAAATTTATGAACAGGCTATCTGACAAGAACTTGAAGCTCTTTGCTCTGAAAAAATAGGTAGTATAGGAAAGATTCCAAATGGAAGGCATTATTTAGCAAGATCGAAAATTCAGTAAGTAATTAATTTAGCAATTTTTTTTTAATTAAGTAACTTAAACTTTAGATATAGATTAGCACTGAGTTCTGCAAGTATTGTAAAGCTTTATTTGGGTCTTTTTGGCATGCCATATTTGATCATGTTTTTAAAAAGAAGGTTTCACCAACTGTTAATTCAGAAAGTTCAGAATCTAATATAATTTCTTGAAAAGAGAGTAACAAAGACAAATGGTGTTTTGAGAACTTGGATAGTATAATTGAGGAAGAAGACAAAATGTATCTTTAAATAGTTGCCAAGAAGGTATTCAGTCAACAACCTACAAAAAATCAATATGCAGTAACACAAGCTATATTACACAACTTGTTTAATCCTGAAATTGTCAAAATTAAATTTGATAAAAGGTATTTGACATGAAAATTGAGAACTTTCTTAGGAAGTATTACTATATTAAGGTTTTGCAGTTATTTGCATAGTACTACTTTAGCATTAAACTAGACATAAAATTAACTTTACATTTTGATAGTATTATGTTAAACATTTATAATATATTATTGGTAATGTCTGTATTATATTCTAATTAAACTATCATATAATTTATAGCAAGATGATAATAAAGAAAATCAAGAAAATAATGAGTTAAGTACATTAGAAATGAATGAATATCATACTGCTATATAATTGAGCTTTATATAATAATGTAATATTTGCATTAATTCTATATGGGTGCAGCTTTCATGATTGCATATATATGTATATGTAAAATTATTTATTAAATTTAAATATATTTTTATGTAACTATATGTAATTTGTATTTAATTTTTATTGTATTAATTAAATAAATATATATTAAATAAAATTTATTTATAAACTTACATAGTTTATAGATGATTTTTATATAAATATAGTATTTATTAAATTTTAAATAAAGTTTAAATAAATATTATTTATAATTATATGTAATTATATAAATAAACTATATGTAAATATTGTATTTTTAAATTTTAAATAGCTACTAAATAGATATTATTTATAATTTTACATAATTATATAAATAAAATTTATATAATTATTATATTTATTAAAATTTAAATAACTATTAAATAATATTGCTTATAATTCTAATATACATATAAATTAAAATTACATAAGTCTATATTGGGTTTATAGAGCTATATAAAAGTTTTAAATAAAATATATATAAAATATTTACATAACTCTATATAAAACTAACATTGTGATGAAGGATATAACTTTAGAGAAAAAAGACTATTATAGGAAAAATACTGTCTAACACACAACTTACATATAGTAAGCCTTACAGAAACAAAATTTTTAGATAAAATATTTAATAAATTCTTCAATACACAACATTACACATACTACTGGGCCAACTCTACAACATTGAAAGAAGGCACATATATTATAGTTCAAAACCATATCCAACCTCATATTCATAATATACTGAATTACAATAATGGTGCCATCGACTTGATGTTTTCTTCAAACATAACTACAAATTTAGAATTATATCAGTTTATCTCTTATCAACAAATTCATCAACTCAAAAAGCTACACAAAACAAAGTAAAAGAATAGATACAACAAGCATTAGCTACTAATTTACATCCTATTATACTTGGTGACTTTAATGCTAATAATGATTCTACAATTTTATTAGTTATTAAATATCAATTGCTAAACTACCTACATAGTATCAATTTATATGACTTGGGCAATTACTTCAATAATATCACAGTACATGGCAAAGTACTAGATATCAAAACAGAATAGACTATATCTGGGCTGATAACTCATTAATCCCATATTTACACAAATTCAAACTTGACAACTCATTATCATCAACAAATAGTAATCATCAAGTACTAATATCTACCTGAAAATTTTTATTTGCTATATCTAAAGCTAGAAACAAAAATAGATCAAAAGAAGAACATATAACTACAAAGCAATAACTAAAGAAAACTGGAAAGAATTCTTAAACCAAGTCAAGACCAATATGATAGAATATCAAGTGCCAATAACAACAGATACTACAGAAAGTCTTAAACATACATGGTACAAAATAGATACTTATATAACTAAAGCAGCTCTTAAACACATTCAAAACAAAAAATATACTATTAAAAACTTTTTTTATATCTTTATACCAAAAGCCACACAACTACACAATGATCTTAAAACTATCAGACATATTATGCATTAAGTTAAAAAGCATTTTATATACAATACTATCATACTTGACAATATACAGAGCCTAATTGACCAAATCAATATAACACACAACTTTAGCATCAACTCACATTCATATCAACAATCCAATTTGGCTACATGGATACAAGAAACAAAACTTTGCTAGAAAACACTTTATAATTATAATAATTTAACATTCAACTTCTTAATAAAGCATTACAATGAATACATATACCTACATGTCTAGTCAATACTATAATTAATCTACTTCAAAACTGCTCCAATCAAGTAATTACTAACTTCAGCCCTTCTTCTTTATATGAAGTACAGGATGGTATTGACCAAGAAGAAACTATAACACCTCTTCTCTGGCACATTTTATGATCCACTTATTAACAATATAAACAAAAAATATACTGGTTAAACCTTAACAACCAAATGGATCTCTCAACTTAACCCAATAAAATATTAATCATCAACAACTTCAACATCAAACTTGGCATATATGAATGATATACTATGGTTAGCTAAAACCAAAGAACAACTCCAAGAGATAATACAAACAGCATCAACATTCTATACTATGTCTCATATCAAAGTTAACCTATATAAATCTATTTTAATCTCTAATACAAAATTAACTCCAACTATCAATTTCATGAACTCTACAATACAAACACTACCTTGCCACACACCCTTTAAATTTCTAGAATGTTGGTTTACAACTACCTCTAAATACACTACCCAAATTAAACTAATCAAACAAAAAGCATTAGAACTCAATGAAATACTTAAAACCAAAAATATAACTGATAAACAAACAGCATATATTATTAACACAGTCATTATTTCTATCCTAGAATACTGTATACATAATATAGTCCTATTATGCACAATATGCAACTCTATCCTATCACAATACATTACTACTGCTAAATATAAATTTAAATTATCTACAACTACACCACATCGTACATTATTAAACCACAGCATATATGATATTAAAAATATTTGAGATATACAAATCCAACACCATATCTCAAACTTTTTACTTCATATTAATGATCCTAACCTTATGAATACAAGTATCCACATTAGACTTTAACAATTACAAAATAATTTATACTTAACAACAAATATCCTATATCATAACATTCTAATAATAAATGGACCAAACAAATATACTGCTACCTTTAAAATTATACAACTACTTAATAACCTTCAACTAACTATTCAGATGCACTCTAGCAACTTCAGATACTACATACTTTCACATCCATATACACCTATTGAAAAACTATTACATTTACACAAATTATATTACCAATTCAAAAAACAATTGCATATAAAACAAATTATGTATCTAGAACAACTAACCTCAAGTGATAACTCAGTACTACTATACTGGCAATATATTTCTCTACAAATACAACAAATTCCTAAAGTTCACAAACCATTATGGTTTCTAAGCTTAGAAAACAAACTACTTGTCTCTCAACAAACAAGAAAAATTAACCCCCAACTTTTACAGTTATCAAATATAAATATACTATCTGTTACAACTGGACATTACAAAATCAAACCAAAACTCTGGCTAATAACATACAACCAAACTGATATTATTATCAGAAAAGCCAGAAGACATAATCAATTAAATAACTCTA